GCAGTATGTCATCTCTGCAAGTTGCAGACATTTTTGGCAAAAAACGCTGTATCATTTGATACGTTTGTTTTGCTTACCAAAGCTTTGGAGTTACTGCAGGCAATGCTTCCTTGCTTAAAAAGATTTCGTTGTATTGCTTTGCCATCAGACTTTGTATGCTTTATATTTGTCATTTTGTCACTCTGGAATTAGTGAGTGGCTGCTGATTGTGCCCCACATGTTTTACTCTCTTTGTCAAATTGTCAAAATGCATTGAAAATAGAAAATGAACTGGCAAAAACATATAGAGTATATTAAACAGGTTTTCTGAACACAATGAGACTTCCTGCTTTGTAATTACATTTTCAGGATCAAATTTATTTAAAGTAATTTTTTCTTATATTCTGTCTTTCCTTTCACCTTGCACAGAAAATATCTGTAGTGGTTTCTCTTAATGTCAGGAATCTATTTTTAAAACTTTACTCTGCGTAGGAACTGGAACAAGTAATTCATATGGATGCAAGGTACTCTATCATGTATACATTCCAGTTCTTGCAGGAATATAAACTTCTGTTCTTGAATCACTCAGTCACATACTTTCAGTGTATATATTTTCTGGCACATGAGCAAGCATTTGTACAATTTAGGAAGTGAGTGGAACTGAGCCTATACATACCAAATCAGAAACTCCACTGTGTACAAGCAGTTGATGGGACGTTGGACATCTTGTAACATCATTTTCCGGTATTTGCTTTATTCTCTTAAAAATATTCTCTGAGTTAACTTAAACTTCTTCTTTCATTTTTCGATGCTTTTCTGTGCACCGTGGATTTTGTTGCATCCTTGCTGACTTAGCGTGCATCTGGATGGAATTAAGATTGATTTCTGGCAGAACCTCTTTTTATTTCTGGCTTGCTCTGTATTTCAGATGTACATCACAAGCACAATAAAAACAAAGAGTAGCAGGCTAGCCAAACCTGTGTTGTGTCTGGGTACCCTGTGTGCTGCATTCCTCACTGGGCTGAATCGAGTTTCCGAGTATCGAAACCACTGTTCGGATGTGATCGCAGGCTTCATCTTGGGGAGTGCAGTAGCTTTGTTTCTGGTAAGCCCATCACTTCTTCCTCATTCTTTGTTTAAAAAACAGCGCAGATCAAAGAAAAATTCTTTTGCTGTTCTCCTTCTGCCTATCACAGCTCGTTATCCATTCCCTAAGAACTAATTCTAGCCCCATCCAATTGGGTGTATCATCAGAGAAAATCCTAATATGAAATCAGACTGATTTTAGTTCATAAGGCTAATATGGTCACATTCGTGTATCCATATGTATTTCAAGATTATTTTAATTATCATACAGTGCTCTTACTTGCCTGTCCTGGAAAAATGCTCTGAAGATGAAGTAGTATTGCAAAACCCCACTGGCTGCATGCTATCTGGCAAAAATGTAGGATACAGGATGTTGTCAGAAACTCTAAGCAGTGGTCCTGGTTCTCCGTTTTGATTGCGTGGACACAAAGGAAATGCAGCAGAAAGGAAGGTCAGGTTAAATTCCTGGAAGACAAAACCACCTCCCTTGGTAACATCTGGAGGTGAGCCTAAATCGTTCCCCACCCCCACAGGACAATCAAAAGTATTTAGAAAATGCCATCCAAGGCCTTCCAGCAGACTCTAAGAGCAGCATCTGTCTCCTGAGTTTGAATGTTACTTGCTTCCCTCTTAGCTGGGTGGATTATGTGTTTTGCTATGGTGAGGAACGTCTGGCTGCAGCAGAGCAAATCAAGGCAATTCCTGGCCAGCTCACTATTACTGAGAAATGTGCCTGGCTCTGTTTAGTCAAAATAAACCATCCACTGTGTAGCAATGAACACTTTCTTTGTCCATGTACACAGCTTCCTTACCTCTGGAAAGGTTCAAAACAGTGCAATTCCAACAGTACATCCTTAGCAAATAGTGGAAATAGGGCTAAGAGGAACCTCAGGAGGTCACTCAGTCTATCCAGATCCTCGGCACTCATAAGGGATCAATTTTCAAAGGTTTCTTACATGCAGATTGTCCTGTCACTGATTTTTTTCTATTCTGTACTTAATAAAAAAAAAGCAAGCCTTCCACAAATTGTCTGTTCCAGTGCTTCCTTTCAATCAAAAGATGTCCTCGACTTCTAATGTGGATCTCCCTGGCTTTAATGTAAGCCTGTTACTGTTTGCCTAATTCCTACTGGAACAGGCAGTTGAAATCTAGCCCATATACTATTAACAGGCAGTCACCCCATACATCTGGTCAGGACAATTCAGATGGTCCCACCACCTGTTTCCAGTAGTGACAGCCTGCTAATAAACCCATTTTGGCCCTGCAGCTCTTCTGCCACCGTTTAAGCAGCGCAAAGTTGATTGCACAGAACGGAAGAGGGGAAGAGGTCCCCCAGGAGCATGGTGCTGGGAGCTGCCTGCTGCCAGCCAAACTCAGCCAAGCTGCAGCGTGCTCCTTTCTCGGCTCTGAAGAGCAGCACAGAGAAAGAGCCAGCAAGGAGAAGGCTGCAGAAATTGCTCTGGCAGTAGCTGTGTCAGCTTCCATACATCTTTTTTCCTCTTCTGTTCCTGAGCCCCAAGCAGCAATGTGCAGGGTTCAGCCTTATTATCATCACCATGTGCATATACACAGATGGTACCAAATGTGTGCAGTGAGTTGAGTCATGCCGTAGGGAAGAGTGGTATGATAAACACCACAGAGGTCATACTAGAAGTATGTGAGATGTTGCTGGCTGAGCTTGGAGTCATCGAGATATAAGGTAGATTGGGCCATCGAATGTGCCGTTTTCATGGTTTGGAAATGACAGTCAGGGTCTTGAAGGAACATCTGGATGAAAAAAAATGCATGAGTCGGGTAGTCCATGGTTCTGTGAGGATGAAGCAGACTCTGTGGCAGGCTCCACCACTTGTAAAAGACCTACCTCTGAGAATGGTTGATCACCTCACGTTACAGGCTGGATGAACCTGTTTACCAAGATAGTCCACCACTCCCAGCTATGTCAGTAAATGCCTTATAGCCAAGGGCTAGGACAGATGGTGCCCTGAACCAAAACCCCAGGTTAAGTTCCTTGCAAAAACTGGCAGTTTTGAGTTACTAAGTAGGAATGAGTGCCTGAGGCACCTGATAGGAGTTCCAGTGAATTCCTGGGGATTGAACATGCTGACCTTTCTCTTTTGTTTCTTTTTTTCTGTATTACGTAGGGGATATGTGTTGTGCATAACTTTAAAGGCATGCATGGAACTCCTTCTAAGCCGAAGCCTGAAGACCCACGAGGGATGCCACTAATGGCTTTTCCAAGAGTGGAAAGTCCACTGGAGACATTGAGTGCACAGGTACTGTAAATAGACTCACCCAGACTGTCACCAAGCGGACTGTCCCTTCTGGCGGAGTAAAAACTAGTTGTGTGCATAACGGCATAGGGTTTCATCCCTAACATTAAATTGGGAGTGAATCTGCATCAAGCATGAGTCTATTCAAACATGTTTATCCCTTAAGTTATCCAGTGCTCTAGACCTTCTGCCCCTGTACACATTCACAGCTAACATAGTAGGATTTTACATGCCTCTGCATATCTTTTGTGGTAACAAACTTTTGCTTAGAAGAACAGAAAACTGGAACAAAAGCGTAGGTCATTCTGTCTAATTACACTTTGGGATGCTTTGGAGATTTCTTTGCAAAAATATTAGTGCTAACATTTGTAATCCAGAGGAAAAACCACCATGATATTCAAAAAAATTATGATAGAAACTAGTTTCTTATTGTTATTACATTCAGTATCTTCTATAACAAGATGAAATCATGCCCTATTTTCTAAGTTGGTAGGAGAGAAGCTAAGAAAATTGAAGTTTACAAAAACATAGGCTAGTGGGAACATTTCATTTGATGTTACTGATGCGCTACTAAATTGCAATGGCTTGCATTAGAAAAATGGAAACTTACGCAGTCCTTATAAAACAAACAAGCAAATGCTAACTGCCAAGGATTTCTAGGAACAAAGTTTGAAGTCTAAAATGCAGCTTATCAGTTCTCTGTAGTGCCCTGATGTGATTTATTTGTGCTTTAAATTTTACCTTGTCTTTTAGGTGGCCTGTCACTGCTGTTCATTGTGTGGTGTGTGGCAGAGTCAACAGGGATTATCAAACCCTTTGATGAATTGACCGAATAAGAATGAATATGAATAGATATGAATAAGAATGAATATGAATAGATATGTTTGTGTATGTGTGTGTGTGTTCGTGTGTGTATGGAAGAGATGCTACTTCTAACACTAGAAATATTTTGCTTAATTGAAAAGTCAGTTTTCATTTGGAAAAGTTTTCCTAGAAGACTTTCGATCAGTTCTGTAGAACTATGTACATAACTATTCTAGTGGTGGACTTGCAGTCCAGAAACTAAGTCCTGTTTATCTATTCACATTGTATTTTGTATGACAAAGGGGCTGAGCTGGTAAAAGTATTCATAGAGTGTGAGAACAGTTTTGTCTACCCAGCTATTTATAGTTTCTGGACTGTGAGGTGCAGAGATTAAGCAAGGCCTAAGATGCTGGAGCACCCTATAATAAACAAGATAATTTTCTCTGATTCAGTAGCTCGGTCTCTAAATGAGCATATACCTATCTTCTTGGAGTAGACCGGAAGAATGTGATTTTGCTCTGAAGCTATTATAAATAAGTCAGTGGCAGTGGTTGTTCATTATTGCTTCCTCAGATACGAGGGATGCAGCATCCTTACCTGTGCAGATTTGTGCATAGATTTGCACTCTTATTTTCCTCTGCACCCACACAAATCCTGCAGATACAGAGTGATCCTGGGGAGACCCAGGGCTGCCACTGAGGTCCTGGATGTTGGCTCCCAAGAAAGTCAGGTCAGCACTGGCTGTTTCAACCCAGAGAGTGTTTGTGGTTGCTTGTGTTTGAGCATTATTACCCCACCTCTGTATGGTTTTAAGCTCTGTAATTTGCCAGGTGTCAAACTGTGTAGGACCTACTGTGCCCCATGCACGTGTCACATGAAGTTTACCGTACAAAGCCAAACCATGTTCTTCCAGGCTCTTCATAGATGATATGAGCCATGTGAGTGTAGGAGGAGCTTTGAGCCTGCACCAACATGTCTCTGTGGGCAGAATCCCATCTGGTTTGAAAGACCCTGGAGAAGAGGTGGCACCTTGGTGGTGGCACCTTGGTGGTGGCAACTTGGCACGAAGTGGCACCTTGTTTTTTCAAGCATATTAATAGGCTTAGAAGCAGGGCTTGATTTCAGTGTTTCCCACAATGTCAGGCTCTTGGCTGGGATCAGGATAAGGCACAGTTATGTTTGCAGTGACTTCTTCCCTCATTCGTCAGGCAATAGATTTTATATCCCTGCGCTTACTGTGAAGATTTTTCTCATTCACTTCACGCATTAAGATATGTAAATGACAACATGTGTAAAAAATGTTCAGGAGTTTGCATTTTCCTCTTTGTAGAATCACTCTGCCTCGATGACTGAAGTAACCTGAGAAGGAAGACTGGCAACAGAAGATATTTTTTATTACCCTCCAGTACAATACTCCAAGACACACACAGTTACTAAATGTCAGACTGTGATGACCAGTATTATGTTATGTCTAGTTAGAGGCTGATGTTTTGTACATTTTTTTGTATGAGGAAGTGATGTAGCTTGCCTTGATTTTTTTGTCAGCTTTAATATTATTATGCCAGAATTTAAAAGCAAAAGAGAAAAAAAAAAGAAAAAAAAAACTTTTCTTGTTACGAGTGTGCACTAAAGAACTACATCTATGGAACTGTTGATGTTGTTATGTGATATTTGTACACAGACTCTTTTTTTCTTCATTTTTGTATTTATATAACTTGAAATAAAATAATTCACTTTTACCTTTTCTTACCATAAGAAACCAGCAGGTTGGATTCTAATAAGCTCAGCATAAATCTGAAGTAACTGCATATGCTTAATTCAGATTAAAATAATGGGGATCAGGAATCCAGCCTGAATGTCATTATCAACAAATGATAAACAATCATCATTGATTCAGTGAGCTGCTTAAGGATTCCTTCGCACTATGGACTTCTGTTACCCATTCCATTTCCAGACTACTTGGCGGACTAGAAGTATATCCTTAAGTATCTCACTGAATCAGCGCCTGATTGTTCTGAGGTAGAAGATTGTACTAGTTATTGAAGAATAACTAAAACAATATGCTCAGTCTGCAATATAGACAGACTGGACATATACATTTACAGTAGTAGCTGATAGCATGTGAGCTGACTATATCATCTCCCTAGATCTCAGTTCCTCCACAAGGCCCAGCCAAAGCTCCCAGTGAAATTTAATATGGCTTCAGGAATAGACTTATGGGGATTTACAGCCATCGCTGTGGACCTGAGGTTGGGCTCTAAGTGTTTCATAACTTCATCATAGAGTTGTGAGGTAACCAGTATCATTTGTGCAAAGAAACAGTGACACCTCCTCTTCAGGGGAGCAGGAAAGCTTGGCATTCAAACTAGTGTAAACAAGAAGCCAGTTCTGCCCCAACAGTTGGCACAGGCATGGGCACAGGGCACACTGTTTTCCCTGAGGGGCTTTCACAAGTCATAGAAACAACTGGCACAGTCTGTAGTAGCAGTCTGCTTTTTTGTAAATCCTACCGTACAGAATTTATATCGAAACTGCTATTTTACAGTTTAACAACATTGTTTAAGGAATAAAACGAGAGAATTGGTGGGGGGAGGAGGGACACACAAACAAGAGGCCGTTTGCAACCATTAGAGCCAGGGTAAAGGCTTCATTTCATGGTTTTTCACTGTTTCTAGGATTTTTCTGCATCTCATTCTTCTAGCATGGTGATAAGTGCTGTGTCTCCTTAGCCTCTGTCTGTTCTTTTACTGGAATGTTTACCTCACATTTCCATATTGGTTATTCTTGGCTTTTTTTGTATTTTTTTTCCAAAACAGATTAAAAAAAAATTATTAAAAAAAACCTATGTAGCCTGGTCTCTGTTATTTGTTTGTGACAAAGAAAATTCTTGGGATGGCTCTGTGTCTTGCCTTGCAGGGCTTCTTCCAAGCTGGTATTTTCTTGTGACTCTGCTGACGTTTGGTTCACTCTTGGGAACCTAAAAATCAGAACTGGGCCATGCAGGCTTTCTATGACCAGGAGGTCTGGTTGCCTCACTATGACTTTGATCCAAATTCCGCTGACACTCTGGGAAAAGTTCTGCCCAATGAAATTGGCTTTGAAACCAGTCCTTGTGCATTAGAAAGCTAATGACAAGCTAGAAAAGCTTATCGGCAATCAATATTTCATTCAGTACAATCAGTCAACAGGGACTACATCATTCATGCTGCAGTGGGCTAGCTGGGGGCTGAGTTCTAAAATAAATCCTTTATTTTCTGTAGCCTGCTCTCTGCAGCTGTAGTCCACAGGGTCATGTTCCTCCTGAGTGCACTGTTACCCCCATGTGAATCTTGCGTTCTTAGTTAATAGCATGAACAGAATTGGTAGTGACTCTACCCTACTCTGTTTATCCTCTAGCGTGCTGCCATGGGCACTGTTTCTGAGGGTGGTAGATGTGGTTTTGACCTTCCTCCAGATCCTCCAGGTTGAAAAAGGATATGAACCTGGATTTTCCATTTCCTGAATGATTGCTTTATCCTTTCAGTTATGAGGCAGTGTGGTGAGAAGTACCTCTCTCTACACTTTAAAACAAACAAATGGGCCCAGTCTGACAAGATACATTGGGATGCTTCTGTCAGGAGAGGTCTCAGGGTTGTGGGTCCCCAGAGGCGTGCGTGCTTCCTTGCAGGTGCTTGAAGTCTGGATGACTGGTTAGATAAAGATACACCTATACGCACAGGCTCAGTGCATTTCCTCTTGGCTAGCGCTAAGTGTTTGCTACTGTTTTAGTTTTATAGTACACTCAGTCTTTGCCAGTTGCAAGATGATATCTTAAATCAAAGTTTAAACTTGACAACACATTTGCTTATCTCGGGTACCTTTCCGTTTAGGAGCAATGTGTGTTCACCTCTTGGAACCTGTGAGCCAGTGAAAACTCAGTCTTTAGGTCGCTATTGTATTTTGATTTTTTTAGTTCTGCTCTGAGGCACGTAATTATTCTGTGTACAGTGAGTCTAGTAGGCCGCTAACAATGGCTTCTGGAGTCCAATGTAATGACTAAGTGCCTAAAATAAACCTGTTGCTTCACCTAAACTTTTCATCACACTGTTGCATCAGCTTTTACAATGGATTGATGGCTGTTGCGCCTGCATCCAGCTTTATGTCTTTATGTACTTCAGCTATGAACCAGGCCTACATAAAGCGATTGGCAGCAGTGCCTGAATCCCTACTTATGGAGAAAAGTGACCTAGCTGGATGGCTGGGACCTGCACACCCAGCTGGCTCCCATCTGACGGTGAGATGGGGACCTCTTGTTCGTACTCCTCCTGGCTCCTCCTGGTGTGTGAATCGTGCCTCTTGGCTATGATAAGGCTTTCGGATGTGACTTGAGTTCAGGAAACAATTTGCCCGTCTTGAGTACCTGTATGAAGGCAAAATTGGTACATCTTGCCAAAACAAGCGGTCAGTATTACAAATACTACGTTAATCCGCCTCCAATCTTGAATGAGCGTGACCTACACAACAGCTCTGATTGAAAAGTCTCAGGCATTTGTCAGTATCTCTCAAGCTTCAGCCAACTCAGGCCACATTTCAGATAGATCTAACCAAGGCCTGCCTGGTTTGCAACCTTGCACCTTTCAGTAAACGTGGCATCATTATGGTCACTTGAAGCAAAACCTGGTCTTGGGACACATAATGAGCCAAAGCAGACAGAAGAACTGGATGAAAGCTTAGAAGATCAATGATACATGTTATGTATTATGGTCACTGCAGTTGTTACACTCTGATCCAGGTCCAACTAGTTTTAGTAAGACTTCAAGTAGGCCCTTAATAGGCTTCTGTCCACAAAAGGATTAAAGTCAGTGTTGCTTATGCATTTGTGTTTTCCTCCATCCGCTACTAACCTACAAAACAGAAAGTTGTTAGAGGAGGCGGAAATGTAATCTGTAATCCTTGCTGCAGTGGTGTTCCCAGAATATTCTTCCACAGCATGAGCTCACAACTCAAGAGCTTGTACTAAATAGCTAATGTAGCTATTACATAAAATAAACACATGTTCATTCCTTTCCAAGGAAGGAAGCCCCTAGATTTGATTCACCTGACGTAAAAGCTTTTGGATGTTGCCCTTAGATATTTGTGGGAAGACTCTTCCTCTGGATTGCGTGAAGTAGGCTTTATACGTTGAGTGACTGCATCCACTCCCCCTGTAACCCAGAGATTCACTCATAAAGCATACTGGCTGAACTGTTGGCCAGATATTAAGAAAAGGTGCTATGCAAGACATAGGAAAAGGTTTATATTAGGATGAAAGACTGTCACGACTTGAATCAATTGTGGTCATTGTATTTGACTGACTCAGCCCATGCTAGCCTGACAAGCGGGTAGAGGGCTCCATAGAGTTTTTTAACCCAGTTTGTATTTCAAGGCTGCTTATCACTTCTCTATAAATCTGGCTAGCTACAAGGCATCTATGGTGTGGCAAACAGGTGACAGAGTCAAGTAAGCCAAGGTGGTCGTGCAAGGTACTCCCCATCACATCTTATTTTACCAACCAGTGGGACAGCTGATCTCCTATCGGATACACAACTGTTACTGTAAAGCCAGTCATTTTCATTCATGGGGACTTCACATGGGATTGTCTGGTTTTAGGAAACTGAACAAACACCCACTGCACAGCAGTGCAGCCTTTTCTCCCCTCTTCCCCAAGCCAGTCTACCTGCTCCAAGTCCCCACTGCCCTTTTCGCACAAGTCACAGAGCTGTGAAGGGTCATCAGCTGAGAGAGAGGTTTGGGGATAACTGCAAGTATGACCATTGCAGAAATATATTTTGTTAACAGTTAACACAGAGATGAAAAAGTGACAATAGAAACTGTAAATGCTTAAATAGCATGAACTGAAAAACAAAAAAGTGTGGGGGAGGCTTATGAGCTTATGTATCCAGCCTATTTACTATCACTTAGCTTTGCTATAGCTAGACACATCACAGCAGCTGAGTGAATAGCTGTGCAGAACAACGAGCACTTTATTACCACAAATCTGTTTTGCTAGGCCTTTGCAGCAGGAACTAGAAAGGCAGCTCTATATAAAGGCTGTAGAAAGCAGTACTTCAGAAGACTGCTGAATAAACAAACAGAGTATTCTAAAACACAACAGCAGCAGTTTCAAAGTGTGCTTCAGGAAGCTCCATCTGAACGTGATGAAAAACTTATTTCCTGGGAGAGTGACTGAGTGCTGGAACAGGCTGCCCAGAGAGGTTGTGGAGTCTCCTTACTCGGAGATATTCCAAAGACATCTGGACACAATCCTGGGCAATGTGCTCTAGGTAAGCCTGCTTGAGCAAGGGGGTTGGACTACACGGTCTTCCAGAGCTCCCTTCCAACCTCAACCATTCTGTGATTCTGTAATTATGATACATTTAATGGCAAAAGTGTAAGCTAGAGAATTCTATGAAACAAAAGATCAAGGGTTCAGGAAAGTGAATGGTATAATCCAATGCATCTCACGTATCATTCTCTGCACACATATGGAACCTATCTTCACTCTAAACAATCTGTTTTGTAGGAAACTTTCACAAAGTAGTAAGGATTTTTCAGATTATTGCACAATTCTTTCATTTTATTGCCCTCTTGAATTTCCTGCTGTCTCCTCTCATCACAAGCAGAACTACACATCAGTTACATGGGAAGAAAATCTAGTATTAAGTAATACCTATTTCGAGGATCAATAGAACTGCTAAATAGATTTCTACTGCACAGTCAATAAATCACAGAATTCTACTTTGCACTCACTACATTTGTATTTTCAGGAGAACAAGTGGAGTTTTAATACAGAATCTGCAGTGACTTTTAAAAACATCATTTCTGACAGGTCTTCTTTCCAACCTCAGAAGAACAACAACAATAAAAGATACCGGCTCATCTCCCCACTCCTTCCCCAAATATCTGTAGGCCTAGTCTAGGCGGCTGAGCACTCACTCCGTAGCTGAAATGCACTAGCAAATATCCATTAAACAGCGCAGAATCGAAGACAGGAAGTTCACAAGCTCTAGGAAAGAAACGGGAGTTTGGTCCCCTCCGTTTTTCCCCTGCTAGGTTCTGTAACCTTTAGGAGCATGGCACAGGCCCAGAAGCATACGTTATTACCTTTAGTGACCACACTGTGTCACTGTTTCATAGCACAAACTTCTGCTCTTCTCAGAATACAATGAACAGAACAATGACATCTGAAGACAACTAAATGAACTTTTATTGACAATATTCATAGTCTTCATTAATATCACAATGAAAAGGCCCTGCTATACACGTCTATCTTAAGAATGCAAGCCAATCAAAGTGATGCTTCATGGTATCACTCACTGTTCCCAGGTAATCTTCAGGTTTGGGGGTAGCTCTGCAGCACACAGTTCATCAAACTTTGATACATCCTTCACAGGTGTGCTGTAGAAATTCAGGACATCCTTAGCACTGCACATCAGGTGGAGCTGTGAATTGGGGACAGCATGACCAAGTTCTGATGCGAGCTGAGCCAGGAGGCGATACTTTAACCTATTTTCTTTTAGGGAAGTCTGTTGCCAATTATCAGGAACTGAGGGTCCAAAAATCTCCTTGACCAGAAACTCAAGGCTACTCTGTAGATCCTCTGGAGGAAAGTATTTCCTGCTGCGTGGTGGGGGGCAGATCAGGCTGGGTTCCTTTTTCTCTTGCTCAGCTACTTTGTCTACTTCTAGTTCTTCCTCCTTCTTCCTATTGATAGGAGACATAAGACATGATGATATGATTGGCATCATATAAGACAAGTATTTCCAGTCTTTTCGCTACTTCAGACTGAATCAGAACACATTTCTATTGACAATCTTTTAATGTCAGACGTAGTTCAGTCTGTAAAGAGCTTACACACCCTGTGGACAGAGCAGTTCGGATAATGCATACAAGAAGTGCCTATGCTAGGCCCTTAATTTTTAGCCCAAATGCTGCTTGCCATAGCGTTTGTTGATACACAGTGATCAATTGTCTTGTTTATTTTACTGCTTTAAGAATAAATAGAATTTTAAGCCAGCTTCATGACCTGTTTTCCTAGTTCCAGATCCATTTGCTATTTTGCTGTGAAACAGGATAACAAAGAAATAATAACGACTACAGAAGAAAAATCTATTACCCATAGATGAAAAATATGAAGAGTCTGGACTCTCAAACTAGAGTTTTAACTGGAAAGAGAAAGCCTACCCCATGTCATTTGGCTTGCACATATCTCACAAGCTGGCAGTGGTCAACAACAGAAGCACAACTCTGCCTACAAAGTAAAACTGATTTTCATTCCCTTGCGGTCCTGCCTTGAAACATCTTTTCTTCAACTCCTAAAAAGTCTCCTGAATCCAAAGAGCTACCAGAGCAGCTAGGAGCATTGGAAAACAACCCCCCCCCCCAAAAAAAAAAAAAACACCCAAAAAAAAACAAAAACCACAACCC